TTACTTGCCCAGACTACTGGGTTTTGGAGCTATTTCCAGTTTCAGATTTTTACAAATAAGGTTGTTATGCACATTTAAAAACATATATTTTATTGCACGTTTGCAGGACTTGTCCTAAGCTATGTCCCAAGGAGACACATTGCTGGGTCATAGATTATGCAGGTTTAAATTTACTCAGTAGTGCCAAACAGATTTCCAAAGCGGTTGAATCCATTCTTACTGTCACCAGCAGCATAAGAGAGTTCATATTGTTCCACATTCCTGCCAGCGCTTGCAAGAATTTCCTTTACCAGACTTTTAAATTCTTACTAATCAGATGGGGGTGAAGTTGTATCTTGTTGTGGGCTTTTATTTGCATTACTCATGAGGTTGAGCAACTTATCCTTTTTTTTTGGGGGGGGGGTCATGTGTGGTTCCTCTCTCTGCAGGGCCTGTCCATGGCTTTGCCACCCTTCTGTGCCCCTGCATTTTGTCACAACTGATCGTCCATCTTCCTAATTAATTCACAGGACTCTTTCCATCCTCTCCTTTGTCAAATTATGAGTGTTTTAAATATTTATTTTCCTTTTCTGTTCACTATATAATCTTTTGATAAAGAAAGTTCGTAGTTTAAATGTAGTTGAAGTTATCAAATGTATCCTGCATGACTTATGCTCGGTTGAACATAAACAGATATTCCTGCATCTATTGAGATGATCATGTCTTTCTCCTTTCATTTTTAATGTGGTGAATTACAGTGACTGATTTTCAAATGTTAAACCAACCTTGCATTTCTAGACTAGATGCTATTTTATCACAATGTATTATCATTTTTATATACTGCTCAATTTAGTTGGATTTTGGTATCTATATTCATAAGTGACATTGGCCTGTAATTTCCTTGTCTTGCACTGTACTTGTTATGAAAAGAATTGAGAAGTATTCCCTCCTTTTCTATTATATGGAAAAGTTGCTGTAGGACTGGAATTATTTCCTCTTTGAATGACTTATAGGCGAAGCCTTCTGGGTCTGAGCTTTCTTTGTGGGAACATTATTGATGACCCATTCAGTCCCTTTAGTGATGGGGAGGTTGGATGTTCAGCTGGTGCCAAAGGACTTCAGGTTGCTAAAGTACCAAAATAGTTTCATACCAGTTTGTACACGGCCACCACCGCCAACGCCTAGGTGTGATGACTCCTCCAGGGCTGCTCCGGATCCCCTGGACCTTCTTACGACACATAAATCACAGAATTAGTGCCTGGATAGCCAGTGTCGCCTGGATCCTGCTCAGTGCTAAGGCCAGAAAGTATTTTGAATGGTCAGTGACGGGTTATGAAATACTCTGGTACCATGAGCAGGATGATGCTCATGCAAGTTTTCTCTTTATCTTGAGTCTGTTTTGGTAAGTTACGGTTTTCTAGGAATTTGCCCATTTCATTAAAATCTTCAAGCTATTGTAATAAAGTTATTCATAATATCATGATTTCAGGCTTTTGAAAATTCTTGAGATTAACTTTTTGTAAGCGTTACATATGTCTTGAAAAGGAAATGATTCTACCATTGAAGACACAGGGTCTACAAAATCCAAAACGTTTATTAAACATGTTCAAATTTCCTATATCCTTACTGAATATTTTTCTGCTTGTCTTACCAATTACAGAAGGATGTGTGTTAAAATCTCCCACTGTAATTGTCAATTTGTCTATTTTTCATTGTAACTCTTACATTTTAAGGCTATGGTATTTTCATACAAATTTGAAATTGTTCTATTTTTCTGAAAATTGGATGCTTTTCATTATGAATTGAACTTATTTATCTCTAATTTATCTCTAGTGATTTCCCCCCCAATATTAAAATAACTCCACCAGTCTTTTTTTGTTAGCATTTACATGCTATTTCCCCCCATGTGTTTACTTTTGACCTTTCATTACTCTTATGCGTCGGACCTGTCTCTTGTAAACTGTGTCTATCAATTTTTGCAGTCTGATAATCTTTGTTATTTTAATTACAACATTTAGTCCACTTGCATTTATGGAATTTTAGAACATTTGAATTTATATCTATCATCTGGTTGTCCTCTAAATATACACTGCATTTCCATTCTTCCATTCTCATAGTGTTTATCCCAACTTGAATTCTTTTTTTTTTTTTTTTTTTTTTTGAGACAGTGTCTCGCTTTGTTGCCAGGCTAGAGTGAGTGCCGTGGCTCAGCCTGCTCACAGCAACCTCAACTCCTGGCTCAAAGGCATCCTTCTGCCTCAGCCTCCCAAGTGCTGGGACTACAAGGCATGGCCACCACGCCGGTTAATTTTTTCCTATATATATTAGTTGGCCAATTAATTTCTTTCATATTATAGTAGAGACGGCTCGCTCTTGCTCAGGCTGGTTGAATCGCCTGACCTTGAGCAATCCGCCCGCCTCGGCCTCCCAGAGAGCTAGGATTACAGGCGTGAGCCACCGCGCCCGGCCCGGTTTTTTTTTTTTTTTAGAGACAACATCTCACTCCCACTCTGCTTCCCAGGCTGGAGTGCACTGGCACAATCATAGCTCACTATAACCTCAAATTTCAGTGATCCTCCTGCCTCAGTCTCCTAAGTAGCTGGGACTAGAGGCATGGGCTACCATGCCTAGCTAATTCTTAAATTTTTTCTTATAGATGGGGAATGGCTATGTTGCCCAGGCTTGTCTTGAACTCCTGGCCTCAAGCAATCCTCCTGCCTCAGCCTCCCAAAGTGCTGGAATTATTAATAACTTGTTTCCCTGAAAATAAGACCTACCCACAAAATAAGCCCTAGCAAGATTTCTAAACATTTGCGCAAGATAAGCCCTACCCCGAAAATAAGACCTAGTGATGGGCGTGGTTAGGCAGCATATCTTCCCAACCCATGCATTTCGTTGCCCAGTGGTAAAGAAGACGAGCTGCCCTACTCATCTGCCTCATGAGAGCTGTATTGCTCTACCGTGAGAGACTGGGGCCAATGGTTCTAAAAGAAACAGAGTCGCAAGAAATTCAGGATGGAATTTGGGGTATGGAGAGTTATGATGATGTTCCAGAAGAAGATGACTTAACTATATTTGAATAAATGTAGATTGTTCTACCGTACTTAAATAACACATCCCCTGAAAATAAGCCCTAAGGTGTCTTCTTGAGGAAAAATAAATATAAGACTCTGTCTTATTTTCAGGGAAACATGGTACATGTGTGAGCCACCACACCCAGCCAACAACTTGGATTCTTACCTCATCAAAGTCTAAGCATATTTGTTATCTACCCCCACCTTCCTCCTGACAAATATAATGATCTTAAACGCTTAACTCCATCAGCCAAGTGACATGCCATTGTTGTTGTGTATTGTAGTTCTATTTTTATCCAGAAGACATTGTTATCATTTTACATTATCAATGCTTTGCATTCACTGTTCTTTACGCCCTATTACATGAGACCTCTGGGATTAGCCTCCTCCTGCCTGAAGTTCCTCCTTTGGAATTTCCCTTATGGAGGGTCTGCTAGTGGCAAACCCCTAATTTTTGTATCTGTAAATGCCATTTTTTCACACTCATTCTGCATACATAATGTGTAATTCCTACTAGGTACATACCTCTTGAAAGATATTTTCCTAGATTATATAATTCTAGGGTGATGGTTATATTCTCTCTGGTTTCTGTTGCTTTTGATAAAAAGTCAGGTGTGAATCTATTATTTTTCTGTGTGCCAGACAAAGGTGTTTGGATTTTATTCCGAGTGGAACAGGGAGCTATGGAAAGCTGTTAAGCACAGGGTGGGCAAAGATCGGATGGGATGGCAGCTTCGAGAGCAGGTCCTTGCTGTCGCCCAGAAAAGACGAGGGATGAGGCCGCGCAGGGGGAGTGGAGGTGACGGAAGGGCAGCCTGGGTCACTGGGTCACTGTCCCTTAGGAGGTCAGGGAACCAGGACTCGGATCGCCGCAGGCAAAGGGCAAGCCGGCGGGGTCCCCGTGACGGTGACGCGGGGGCCGGGCGTGGTGGGGGCCAATGACTCGTGTCGGACCTCTAGAGCCGTGCATTCCACTCGTGGCGAGCACCACCGTCCCGAGCGCTGGCGGGTGGGGGCGCGGCGCGGGGGCCGCGTGGGTGGGGCAATGACTCGTGTCCGACCTCTAGAGCCGTGCATCCACTTCGTGCGAGCACCACCGTCCGAGGCCGGGCGCGGGGCGCGGGGGCCGGGCGGAGGCGCAGAGGAGCCTGCCCCCCGGGCACCTCATCCTGCAGCGGCGGCGCGCCTGGCCCGAGCGACTCGCGGCCGGCGAGGTCCGACGGAGGGACGCAGAGGCGCCTTTTCGGCACCCGCGAGCCCGCGGCGCTCCGGAGAGCAGGGTGGGACAGCTTTGCGGTCCCGACCCCCAACAGCCCGAGGGGCCGCGGCCCGGCCCGCGTGGTGGGAGGCGCGGCAAGTGACCTGCGCTTCCTCTTCTGCGCCGCGCGGGCCGTGCCGTTGCGGCCCCTCAAAGCCGCCGGGAAGACTTTGGGAACCGCGTCTCGGCATCCCAGATCGCGTGCGGCCCGGGCGCCGAGCGGCGCGAGAGGGCGCGCGGGCGTCCGCCAGGTGCAGACCGCGCCCGCCGCGCTAGCGCCGCCTCCCGGCGCCCGCCGCACCGGCGCGCGGGCGGGGCGGGGGCGGGCGCGGGGCGCGGCCGGCGAGGCGGGGCCGACCGTAGGGCGAGCTCAGCCCCGCGGCCGGCCGTCAGCGCGCTCCCGCCCCGCCCCCTTCCCCGCGCGCGCGCGCTCGCCGGCGAGGAGGAAAACGTTGCGCAGGTTCAAAAATGGGACGTCGGCGGCGTGAGGCAGCGCGAGGGGGTGTGCGCGCGTGCGCGTGCGCGTGCGCGCCCGGCCGAGGGTGACTGGGACCCCGCCGGCCCCAGCACCGCGCGCCGCAGCCGCGGCCCCGCAGCTCCGCCCCCGGCCCGGCCAGGCCCGGCCCCGGGCCCGCTCGCCCGCTGCCCCGCATGGAGCTGTCAGCCATCGGAGAGCAGGTGTTCGCCGTGGAGAGCATCCGGAAGAAGCGCGTGCGGAAGGTGAGGCTGCCCGGGGGCGGCGCCCGGGACCCCAGCGAGGTCCCCTCTCGTCCCCAGCACAGCCCCTCCGCGCTGGGGGCGAGGGCGAAAGTCGGGCCAGGGACCCAGGCAGCCCTGCGCTGCTGGGCCTGTCTCCCCAGCTCGTGCCTCAGTTTCCCTGGCACCGTGGGGCAAGTAGAATAAAAGTTGTCGCACCGGGATGTTGGGGACAGCTGAGCCCGGTTGAGCTGGTAGTTAGGAGCGGACTGTAGGGACCCTGAGTGTCATCATCTCTTTCATTCTAAATATGGGGTTACTGAGGCCCAAGTTGAAGCGACTTGCCTAGTGTGTTTAGTGTCAGAGCTGGGTATTGAACTCGAGACTGGACTCTTGGCACCAAGTCCTTTGAAGTTGGAAGCAGAGCTTTGGAAGAGTCTCCTCTTGCCTCTGAAGTTTTCCTGCTGGACTTTGACCTTTTGTGATCCCTACCCCTTACACACAACCCCTCCACAGCCCTCTTCCCCGCCCCCCCTCCCCTGCTGTGGGGCGTCCTCGAAGCTCCTCCCCCTCTGCCTTTGCCTTCTCATACAGCCTGCAATTTAAGGAGGCATTTATGCTGCGGGGTTCAGGACCCAGCACCTCAGAGCTGGACTTTGGTTGTCCCAGCCTGATGTCTGCACTTCCTGTGCCCAGGTTTGCCGAGTGGGCTCACTCAAGACTGGAGGCTGGGCTTGGGGAGGTCCTGGAGGAAAGTTCCTCTCCTGGCACGCATCACTGTCCTTTTCCCTTGTCTTCTTTCTGCAGCCCCTTGGGAGGCCCCAGGGGGCAAAGATGGGCCGGCCTGAGCCTCACCTCCTCCCATTTGACAGAGGCAGAAACTGAGGCCCAGGCAGGGGAGTGGCTTGCTCAAGGTCATGCAGCAAGTTAGAGGTAGAGGTGGAGCAGCTCACGTGGGCTGGTTGCCAGCCCATCTTGTACAGAGAAGACTCAGTCCTCAGGTCGTGTGCCAGGGGTGAAGGGCACGGCGAGCCCTGAGCATCCTTTCTTCTCCCGACTCAACTTGGGGTTTAGCTCTGTCTGAAGGTTGGGGCTGCCCTCCTCCTCCTCCCTTCCCCAGGGTTTCCTTATCTTAAAAAAGGACTACTGTATGCCAGGAAGCTCAGTGCTGTGCTTTCCCAGAGTAGCGAGCCTGAAGCAGGCACAGCGATGAACCCCCACCCCGCCCGCATCGCAGATGTGAGATCAAGGATCATCATTCCTTCAGCCAGTCACACAAGACATTTATTGAGGACCTGCGTGTACTAGGCACCACTCTCAGCCCCAAGGATGTGTCCCTCAGAGAGCTGGCATTCTGCAGAGGAGACGCACAGTGAATGAGGAAATACAGACAGACGCTTGTGTGCTCTGCAGAAATAGAACTGGAAGGTGCGCGGGAGGGACAGCACCGGACAAAGTAGCCAGAGAAGGGCTCCTCGGAGAGGTGCCGTTTGTTGGTCTTAGGGTTCCGGTGTGGAGGGGCTTCGCGCACGGAATGGAGGCGGACCTTAAACTTTTAAAGGCCCCCTGCTGGCTGTGAGCGAGGGAGGAGCCTGGCTGTTTCCTAACAACCAAGGGAGGGCTGACCACTCTTTCTGGAGGTGGAGCCTTTGTCTGTCTTCCGTGGGGTCCTGCCAGGGTCTTTCGAGTTGAGAGTTCGAAAGTCACTGGCCTGTTGCCCCTGGGCCAGGGGCAGCCTCTCCAGAGACCCAGCTCACAGGGAGGAGAATCCAGAACAGCCCAGGGAGGAATCTTCTAGGATTTGGAGAGTCTTCCAATCTAAAACAGGGAGAGTTGTGACCTTGGCACTGGGACTCTGCGGGTCTTTGGCCACACATGCACGCCCCCATGTGGTCTCAGTGTCCCATGTGTGACGGAAGCTACCAGCTTGGGCCACAGGAGCCTCAGGGGCGTTTGGCGCCAGGTGCTCTCCTGCGCACTAGTAGGGAGGGCAGACTGGGGTGGTCGTGCAGCAGCCAAAGTTTGGGATCTCTGGGTTTGGGGGATCTGGTGGGAGGCCCCTGGGTTGAGTTTGTGTGTTGGGGAACACCTGTCTGCAGAGGGGATTTGGGGCTGAGGTCCTTTGGCGTACTGTCCCGAGAGTGGTTATAGGGACAACTGTGGGTCTCACCGTGTCTGCTTCTCTCTCTTCGCAGGGTAAAGTCGAATACCTGGTGAAGTGGAAAGGATGGCCCCCAAAGTAAGGCTCCTTTGTGTCTGTCTGTCTACTTGTACATCCCTCCACCTGCCTTTTGCCCCCTCCCTTGGCTAGCTTTTAGCTCCAGCTGCTCTTGTAACTGGGCAGCCAGCCTTGATTAGATCATCCTCTTCTCTGGGCCTCAGTTTCTCCTCTGTTAGCTGAGGGGCTTGGAGCATAGGCAGCTCAAGGTGGGTCTCTGGTTTCTCTTCTCACTCTGGCCCCTCAGTATGGGGACCCATCTTCTGGTTGCAGCCTCCCCTCTCCTTCCTTCTCTCCCTCCCTCTACTTTTCTCAGCACCAGAGATGGCCCCTGGCCAGAAGGAGGGGCCTGACCACAGCAAATGCAGTGCTGGGTGTGTGGGGGAGTCCAGCAGCGGAGCAGGAATCCTCAGTGCCAGGCAGTTGGGAGCAGAGCCTGAGTCCATCTTGCCTGTCCAGTCTACAGAGCATGTTCCCATACAGCCTTGTGAGGGAGGTGTGATCGTGCCCTCTCAAGATGATGAGGAAATAGGCTCAGAGAGGGTAAGCAGCTTGCCTTAGGTCACACAGCAAGTGCAGGCAGAGTTGGGACTTGAACTAGGCCTTTCTGCCTAGGTATCAGGTATCTCCTCTGTGCCTCCCAGTCAAACCTCTCCTGCTGAGGCCCAATCAGGAACCCATCAGCAACTAATCACCTCCCAGAAGGGAGTTGTTGGGAGGGGGAAGGAATGAGCTAGTCTTGGGCCTCCTCATTGGTCTGTGGGTGCCCCGCCCCCTGCCCTGCCTCCTGGAGACTGAGTCCTGGAAACCCCCTCTGCCCAGAGCCTCTGCTGTCAGGGGCTGGGGCTTTTTGCTGTGTTGGTGTTGGGGGCTGACCTGGTGTTGGGTCCTGGGGGCATTCTGGGGAGATGGTAGGAGAGACAGCAGAGGGGAAGACAGCCCATTGTGCCTCAGCTTCCCTCTATGCAAAATGGGTTCAGGCTCTGCTCTCCTTTCATAGGCTACTTGGCCTATGGGGTAAAAGGCCTGGGCACATGTTCAGGGTGACCCACAGTCCTGATGACTGGGGTCGGTGGCTGGCATGTAGATAGTACGGTCCTCCACTCTCACTCCCACCACCACCCCTGTTCTCCCTCCCCAGATACCCTTGGGGACTGAAGGAGGATCCCCTCCTCCACTGGGCTGATCAGAGGTGGCATTCTGGCTTGGGTGAAGGGGGCAGTAAAGGGCGCTGCCCAGAGTGGCAGCAGGAGCACCAAGTCTGTGGACACGTCCTATTAGCTTCTGTGCCGGGAAAGCATCATGTCTGAGCTGTGGTCACCAGCTTGTTGGCATTCAAGGCACTGTTGGCTATTTTTCCTCCTTTGGAGACTCCATCCTTTGAGGGATTTCCTTCTCTAATCAGAGCCCCTATTAATGAAGAGTTCCTAGATGCAAATACATCTGCCAATCAGAGTTTCAATCAGGAGGGAAGGAACTAGGGCTCCAAGAGCAGAGTCCCTTGATGTTTCTGGTGGCCTGTGCCCCTGGCCCAGGGGCCTATTGGTTTCTTAACATGCCGAGACCACCAGAGGGGCCCTCAGGACTGCCTTTTGTGACCCTAAGGGTTCTGGAAACCTTGTTTGACCAGATGACCTGGGGACACCTTCTGTCCCACCCCCCTTTGGTCCTGAGTTCCAAGCCTGGCAGCCCACCCAACAGCTGTGAGCCCTTTGGTTTTCCCCAGCCAGGAAAGGGACCTAGGGTGTTCCATTCATCACAAGAGCTCAAAGTATCTTTAGAAATTATTTAGATCAGTCCTCTCATTTTTCAGAGGGAGAAACTGAGGCCCAGAGAGGGGTGGTCATTACAAGAATATAACTGCCCACCCCATGCAGTGTTGGTGCCCACTTCATGCCACCCAAGGTGCCACCATGGTATGGGCATGAGGCAGGTATGGCTGCTAGCCATCCCCTCCTCACTTGGGGGAAAACAGAGGTTCAGTCCCAGGAGGAGCAGGGCAGCCAGCTGTCTTTAGTCCTCTCCTCAGGGGCCTTGCTTGGAGAAGAGGCTGAGACGCAGGGCAGGAGTAGGTAGTCGGACTGGCTGCATCCTCCAGGCCTGGGAGCCTTGGCTGGGCAGTGCCAGCCTGGGCTGGGGGGAGTCGTTCTCCTGCTCAGCAGCCACCCTCCTCACCCCTGGGCAGGGGGACTTACAACAGTAAGAATAACAGTAACCATGATTTACATGCTCACTCACCCTGTGCCAGGGCCCTGTGAAGCCATCATATGCCTTGCCTGTTTTCTCTCCCCAACAGGCAAATGACTGCCCTTCCTCCCCAGCAGACGAGGCTGTCTTGCTTCTTCTGGAAGGCACAGCAAATGGCACAGGGAGGGGCAGGGGATGTTAGATTGTCTGCTACAGGTGCTCCCTGCACCTCAGAGACCCCCCCAGATACCCTCTTCTCGTTTCAGCCTGCCCAGGACCTGCTGTTCCCCCTTTGGGAATACCTTTCTTTCTTCCCCACTAGTGAATGTGACCCCAAGTTCTAGGAAGGACTGGCTCCACGGGTCTTTAGTAATGACATCAGTGGCACAGCAACAACCAGGCTGCCAATCAATAAGCCCCCATTATGAGCCAGACATTGGCCCATTTAATTGCCACTTAGCAACTGTTTTACAGATGGAGACACCGAAGCCCACAGCAGAGAGGAGTCCTTGCCTAGGGTCAGACAGCTGGGAAGATCTGAACTACCTGAGCCCAGACTTGTGGGCCCACCCCTGTAATACACAGCCAGCTCCACCAAAGGTGACCACCGTTTCTTGTCTGTTGGCCTTTGGCCCGTTCAATAGGAACTGCTCAGGCTTTGGAGCTAGACCATCCTGTCTTTGAATTCTGGTTGTGTGGATTTACCAGCTGTGTGACCCATGGCAAAGCTTTCAACCTCTCTGTGCCTCCATTTCCCCATCTGTAAAATGAGGCCCTGGCCCCACAGGGCCCTGCTGAAGACCACCTGAGATGGGGTAAGATTCATTAACACCCTGCCAAGGCAGAGAAGGAGCTCGTGGGTCTTCTGAGGCTGGGGTTGGGTTGGGAGTGGCAGACTTTTGCACACTCCAGGCTTTTGAAATTGATTTAATGCACTCAAAATTGCTTTAATTGGTTTTATTATGTACCACACTGGTGGAAGTGTTTTACTTAACATATCTCCTCGCAACAACCATGAGCTACAGGGATGGTTGGTAGCCCCGCTTTAGGATGAGGCCACAGAACAGTGAGTCACTTGAGCAAGGCCGCACCCCACCGTCTGGACCTGAGCCTGATGCGGTGTTTCTCGTTTGAGAACTTTAAATTACTGAGTGAGGGAGGGGCCCTGCAGGTCCGTGGGCAGTTCCACCGGCCCCAGCGCCCCAGCTCCGCAGCGCGCCCCGCCAGGCCGGCTAGGGTTGGGGGTCCTGCGCCCGCTGGCGCCCCTCCCCCTCTGCGCCCGGTCCCAGTAGGGCGGGACCTGCGCAGCACCGGGTTCAGGCCCGGCGGCCCGAGCTTGTTTACCGGGCCGGGGGCGGGGCGGCGGTCACGTGGCCGTGTTTATCTCGGAGCCGGCGCGCGCTGTCCCCGCCCTCGCCCCTTGGTTGGCTGGGTAATCCCGGCGCGCGCCCCTGCGGGTGCCTGAGTGCGCGCGCGCGGCCGCGGGGGCGGGGCCTGCATGGGGCGGGGCGGGGCCGGGGCGGGGCCTTCCGTCTCCTCCCACGCGCGCTCTGCTGTCGCACGCCCAGTGCCTGCGCCGGCTGTTCGCGAAGCTGCTTCCCCGCGGCCGGCCTCCACCTTGCGGGGCTGGGTCCGAGAGGTTAAGAGCCCGTGCAAGGCCCCACCCCACCCCGGCGCGGAGCCGGACCAGGCCGCCGGCTGCCGGGTCTGAGCCGGTCTGACCCTGTTACCGCAGACCCCTTGTGCAGCTGTGTGCCAGGCCCCGGCCAACAGCGCTGCTCTCCCAGGGTGTCCCTTGCAGGCAGAGGGTAGCACTGAGCCAAACTGAGTTCCAGCCACGGACTGGCCACTTCCCGGCTCAGTACCTTGGGCAAGTGCTCGTGCCTCTGCTTCTTCATCTGTAAAATGTGGGTAATAATTTAAGAACCTACCTCATCAGAGTACCATGAAGGAGGCACTAGTGGCTAGCGGTCGTCCGCGCACCTGCTGTCGTGGTGGCGCTTGTGCTTCAGATGAGGAAATTGAGGTCAGAGAAGAGTAGGGACTTGCCAGGAATCACACAGTAGCTACAGCAGCTGGAAATCGGCAGGACAGGGGGGACTAGCTGCCGTAGAGACATTTCAGCGGCTAGGGGTGAGGCAGACCACGCAGGAGGACACAAAATTCCCCGTCTTACTAGTTATGGGTGAGGAAATGCAACTGCTGTCCGGGGAAAGAAAGTTTAGAGTCTCAGCCAGCCTCTGGTTGCTGATAGTGTAGCGTGGGCTTCGGTTTCACTTTAGCATTTCTGCAGGGGTGAGCGAAGGCTGCAGGGGCTTCCACAGCTCTTCCCACCGAGGGGGGCCGCTGGGCCTGCACTGGGCACTTTGTCTGCTGGGGCGCTGCTGGATCCGTCCATAGCTGTGGCCAAGTGCAACTGTAAGGCCCAGGGAGGCAGCAGAGGGCGGGGCTAGTCCTGCTGGCAGTGGGACAGCTTGGCAGGGATGTCAGGGAAGCTGCAAGATCTGTCTGTTAAAGGACGACTAGGAGTTCACCATAGGGACAGGCACTCGAGGAGGAGTGCACTGTAAAGGCAAAGCAGGCACAGAGGAAGGGAGTTCTGACGTGGGGACGTGGGGAGGACCCATGCAGTGCTCAGGGCATGGCCTTCGTTGCCACGTCCACAGAACCCACGCAGGCCCGACACGAAGGAGCCGTGCCCACGTGGTGGCAGAAGAGAGGAGGAGAGCTTATTGCCCCAGATTGGACTAAGGTGAAGTATCACAAGAGATGCTCCAGGAACTTAAGTTAAAGGCTTTAGCTCAGCGCACTGGGAGGAAGCAGGGGCAGGCTGTGCCCCAGGTCTTCTGCTGCCTAAGCCCTCCCTACACCCACTCACCTTCCTTCTTACCCAGAGAGCCTCCAGCCAGCGTCAGAGAACATTGCTTTTGTGTATATATGTATTTTATATACATGTATATTTTATTTATGTTTGTATATACAGTCATATTTGACTTAATGACAGGGATAGGTTCTGAGAAATCCCTGCTTAGGCCATCTGTCACGATGTGAACAGCCTACTACACACCTGGGCTGTATGGTGTAGCCTGCTGCTCCTGGGCTGCGAACTTGCAGAGCATGTTACTGTACTGGATGCTGCAGGGAATCGTGCACGGTGGCGAGTGTCTGTGTATCTGTGTGTACCTGAACATAGAAAAGACACAATAAAAACATAGTATAGAAGATAAAGAATGGCACACCTGTATAGGGCACTTACCGTGAATGGAGCTTGCAGTACTGGAGTTGCTCTGAGTGAGTCAGGGAGTGAGTGGTGAGTGAATGTGAAGGCCTAAATTTAAAAAGAATTTTTTTTTGCTCTTATTTTTGATGACACTTGGCTTAAACCACAAATGCATTGTACAGATGTACAAAATATTTTTTCTTTGTATCCTTATTCCATAAGTCTTTTTCTGTTTTTAAAATTTTTTAGTTTTACTTTTAAAGCTCTTTTGTTAAAAACTAAGACAGAAACACATACATTAGCCTAGGCCTACGCAGGGTTGGGATCATCAAAACATCACTAGGTGGTAACAGTTTTTCAGCTCCATTCTAATCTTACAAGACCACTGTCGTTTATGTGGTCTGTTGTTGATCAAAACGTTATGCAGCACATGACTGTACATTTTTTTTAGTTGCTAAATTTTATACTTGAACCTGTGGTGAGTGATCCTGGTTTTTCCATTTATGGAAGTCAGTTAGCTTTTTAAATTAAAAAAAAAAAAATGAGCTGCTTTAAAAACAAGTACCAACTAAATAAAAGTGCAGGTGGAACGAGGATGTGACAGGTGCCACCAAGGTGGTACCACAGATGGATGCACTCTGGGGCTGCCGCACTGTTGCCACCAGGTCCGCCCCAGCGGGGGGAGGCTCTCTGGCATGGGGCGGTGGGAGATCCTCTGTAGCAACCCCACGGGGCGTGCTGGGCCATCGGGTCACTGGATACACACCAAACACCTGCTGTGTGCCAGGCCCAGAAACAAGGGAACTTTAGAGACGGCCGTGGCGTGGGGTGGGGTAGCGATGTGTGCGGTGAGTGGGGGTGAGCGGAGGAGGCCAGCCTGGGGCTTGAAGGGTGGGGAGGCCAGCCGCAGACACTTACAGTGCACTTACTAAACCAAGCGTGGCTCTGAACACTTAGATCAACGAATTTAATCAGCACAAGGGTCCTTTACAGATGGGGAAATTGAGGCACAGAGCTGTTAAGCAAATCGCTTAAAGTCACACAGCTTGCTAGGGGCAGAGCTGGATTTGAACCCAGGCATGGTGTCTTCAGAGCCCCAGCTCCTTACGACCCTCTCTTGCCTGCCGTAGGAAGGGTCCCCTGGGAAGTATAGGGGCTTGCTCTCTTCCAGGTACGCGAGGGGCTCAGGTGGATGTGGGGTCTGACTGGGGGTTGGACCCAGTCCCTTAATAGTGTGGTACAAATGAGGGCAGTCTGGGGTTGCTGGAGCCCTCAGAGGCCTAAGCTAGGTCAGCTGCTTGGAATAGGTGACAATGACATCTTACCAGGATGGGGCAAAGGCCCGCCCACTGTGGGCCCGGGGTCAGCAGCCGCAGCCTCTGTGAAGCCAGGTGGGAGAGGGCAGCTCTGACCTCTCGCTCCTCTCCCCAGGTACAGCACGTGGGAGCCAGAAGAGCACATCCTGGACCCCCGCCTCGTCATGGCCTATGAGGAGAAGTAAGGGGTCCTCTGCCTGCCGCCGGGCTGGGCTCAGGACTGACTGCGGGGCTTCCTGGGAGCCCGCTGCAGGCTCAGCCGGGTCGTTGGGGGCAGGGAGGGGCATCTGACTGGGCAGCCCAGCCTGCCTGCACTGGGGAAGCGGGTGGGCAGAGTCCCAGGGCAGCCGAGGGCCCTGGGTCCTTTTCCTGTTGCTGGTCACTTCCTTACCTACCCAGGCCTCAATCTTTCTGCCGTAAAATGGGCCACCCTGAATAACACCCCAATTTCCCCAGGGTGAAACCTTACATAGCCTGTGAGAGGTTTCAGTTTTGGTAAAAAAAAAACAAAAAACATTAAAATGCTTCACAGAGGTGCCCTGCGTGTGAGGGCGTGGCCGTATCCGTGATGCTGTGTCGACAGGTCCAAGATAAGGTCTCAGGAGATTGTCTTATATGAGAAGGAAGATCTGATGAAGTTCCACAAAGGCTGGGACAGGCGTGTGGGCTTTAGAGCCAAGGTTTCTTTTCCTTTGTTTTTGTTTTGGGGTTTTTTTTTTTTTTTTTTTTTGGAGAGTTTTACTCTGTCACCCTGGCTAGAGTGCAGTGGCATCATCGTAACTCACTGCAGCTTGAACTGCTGGGCTTAAGTTATCCTCCTGCCTCAGCTTCCCCAGTAGCTGGGACTACAGGTGCGCACCGCCATGCCAGGCTAATTTTTCTATTTTTATAGAGACGGGGTCTTGCTCTTGTTCAGGCTGGTCTCGAACTCCTGACCTTAAGCCATCCTCCCGCCTTGGCCTCCCAAAGTGCTAGGATTACAGGAGTGAGCCACCTTGCACGGTCTGGAGCTGGGATTTCTGAGCTCTGGCCTGTCTCCCTTGGCTACCTCCTAGCCAAGTGGCCCTGGGCAAAATCAGTGTTCCACCTCTGCCAGTGCCCGTGACCACTGCCTTTCACTGCGTGTGCCCAGCCTTTCTGCCCCCCTGCCAGAGAGCAGCCTCAGGTCCTCTGCCTCTCCTCGGCCCGCCAGACCTGTACAGAGTGGGACCATTCTGCAGAATTATTTGTACTTGACCCCTTACAGCAGCCTCCTGAGGCAGGGATGCAGGTCTCGCTGGGCAGATGAGGAAACGGAGGCCCTGGTGGATCAGGGGACCCAAGAAGGAGTCTTGCAGCTGGGAACTGGCAGGACCAGGACTCGGCCAGGGCTCCTGCCTCTGGGTCAGGTGCTTTCCTGCTGCCTCTCGTTGCTGGATTCTCACCACGTCTCCCCCAGGAGGCTCCCTGCCACTGATTCCAGGACAAGTTTTCCTCATTCTTTAAAAATCAGTGTGTCCCTGTCCCATGGCTTTTTTCTGCCTCCTGGTGTGTGGTGGGGCCTTGGTCCAACAGGGCTGTTACACGTGGGAGAATCCTAGGGATGTCGCAGAGTGTGGTAAGGGCGGCAGGAGCAGGTGTCAGGGCCTGGGGTAGACTCCTCCACCAGGTGCCCTTTCCCCTCTCCCTGCAGACGGAAGTCCTGTAGGGTGTGGCAGCTCCTGCCCAGAGGACAGCCAGACGTTAGGAACAGACACCGTGGGGCTCACTGGTTTGCGCTGAGCTCCGGTCGAGAGACTGGCCCAAGGTCCCCCAGCCAGGGCGAGGGTGGATCCTGACGCCTGCGTTCTTGCTGCTGTGCACGTGGCCTCTGTAGTGGGGCTACAGAAAGTGTGGATGGAACCGAAACAGGAGGCAAAATGAAGTGGCTCTGAATCTCCCCACCACTTCTGGCACTGTCGTTTGGAGTCTCTGGTTGTGTTGTGTATGTCGTGTGTGACTATAAGCATCCTCAAGTTGTGCCTTGTGTTTGTGTGTTTTGGTATATGGGGAAGGCACCCAGCAGAGAGTCAGGCATCTACTAGGCACTAATACAGGTTAATTTTCTTCCTGTCCCCTGACTAGATGGTACAGACAAGGTAGGAGCCTGCCCTCTCCCAAGTTCATATAGATTGCACTCGGGGGGGCAGTCTGGGCTGAGCTACACTTGCAAAAGGATTTGCCATTCTCATCAGCTCCTCTGGGACAGTCAAGGCAAATTGGACTGACAGGTTTCTACCTGACTTCCCTAAGAGTAGAAACCGGAGCTTCAGCTTTGGAGGGGTCCCCAGCAGTGTGCAGAGCAGAGCCCTATGTGGGCCTGGAGCCCAGTGATGGTTCACATGTTTTTGGAGATGCTGCATGAGTCCTGCCTCAGCGACTGAGACCAGTGCCCTCCCCGTCTGTCAGATGGGAAGACCAGGGCCTTGCGAGTCGAGCATCTGGCCCCCTTGTTGTGGCCCCAGCTGAGCAGTGGGGAGGATCGGTGGACCGTCTGGAGGGCATGTCCCCTTCCCGACAGGCAGCACAGGGCGGGCAAAGTGGACGCCTTGCTTTCTCTTAGATGTCACCCGTGTTTCCTTTTCTTCTGCCGCCTGCTTCGCACCCCAGGGAAGAGAGAGACCGAGCGTCGGGGTATAGGAAGAGAGGTCCGAAACCCAAGCGGCTTCTGCTGCAGGTAACCGGCCTGCCTTTGTGCCTCCTTCCTCTCCCTGCCCGACCATGGGCCCAACCCCCGGGGTCCACCTACCCTCCCAGCTCCACCCCTGGGCACTGTGGGCTGGGCACTCTGTGCGTAAGCTGTGAGGGAAAGAGTTGAGGAAAGCCCGAGTGTGGAGCTGGTGCCCAGGGATGACAGCGGGTGGGCGGTGCCGTGGGAGGAGGCGGGGTGGGCATGTGGCTAATAGAACCCTAGAATTCTGAGAGCTTAGAATCTTGCTTTGAGAAAGCCTTGAAAGCTTTGAGCTTTTTAATGCTCAAAATCCCCAGACACAAAATTATAATACTTGAGAACCTCAGAAACATAAACTTTAGAATTGAGGAAACATGGGATCCCAGATTTTTAGAAAAATTTAGCAATTTTTGGAAAAAAAAACAGAGACTCTTGGAATTTTAGAACCATAGCCTTGGAATGTCAGACTCCTAGAAACCTATCATTTTTGTGTGAGAAGACGCCTATAGGGCCTCTTTTTCCAGTCTTCTGTCTAGTCTCTGCAGCCTCCCAGGCCACCCACCTCTTAGGTCTTGGGGGCATTTTGCTGACTTTGGTGGTCTGCGGTGACAAGCAAATGGGGTTTGAAGCAGTGCAGTTACAGGTTGAGCATCCCTAATCCAAAGTTGGAAACACCTCAAAATCTGAACCATCTCGAGCGGCAACATGACGCTCAAAGGAAATGTTCATGTGATCGATCGTAGGCAAGTCTCTTCTCTTATAAAATGGGGGTGATAACAGTACCTGCTCTCCTTAACTTAATAAGGCCCACTAGGTAGGGTACTTGCATCCAAAACGTCAGGATGCTTGGGCCCGTGTGCATGCGAGCCACGCCAGTCCTCCTGGGCACTCCTTACTGTAGGCCGGCACGGCTCTCACCAGGGTGGGCCTCCCTTCTCCGTGTGTCCGTCGGGTTTAGCGTGAATCGGGTCTAGGAAGGGAAGTGACATCTGCCAGCCATGTGCGTGCCAGGCCCTGTGTCTGGCTTGTTTCACAGATGAACACATTTCATCCACGTGCCAAACCTACAGGGCAGGCGTATGAGTTGCCTCTCTTGTGTAATAGACGACCCCTCTAGCTTAGCAACTTAAAGTAATAAACATGTATTATTTCACATGGTTTCTGTGGGTCAGGAATCCGAGGGTGCTTTAGCTGGTTCTTTAGTGGTTCTAGTGTGGGTTCCAGTCAAGATGTCGGCCGGAGCTACAGTTAGCTGGAGGCATGACTGGGGCTGCAGGCTCAGCCCTGGGCGGCTGCTCACGGGAGGCAGTGCTGGCCATGGTGGGGCTGGCTCCTCCCCACGTGGCCCCTGCTCTGGGCTGCGGGAGTGTCCTGACAGCACAGCCACTAGCTTCCCCAGGGCGGGTGATCCCAGAGAGAGCAGGGAAGAAGCCACAGTGCGTTTTCATGACCTAACCTCAGAAGTCACACGCCATGGTATTCCTCTTGGCAAACGGCTGCATGCAGGTGTGAATTCCAGGAAGCAGCTGTTCCTGGGAACCACCTTGGAGGCTGGTCACTACAGCCCCGTCACCGTTTCGCTGATGAAGATACTGAGACACAGGGAGGCTAGTGGTTTCCCCAGGCAGAAGCTGACTCTTGGCCTTGCGTCCCTTCCAGTAGCTGCAGTTGTCTCACGATGAGGTGGTGAAGGACAAGGAAGAAGGTGCCTTGCAGAATGGTAGAATTCACTGGCAGGGTGGGAGCAGTGGTTTTGAATGAGCTGCCTATGGGACCCACTTCCCAGGCCCCGCAGTTTCCCCCGCCCCCCAGTTCAGCCCTCCTCCCATCCCACAGCAACACCCGGGAGCCGCGGTGCGCTGAGCAGGCCAGACGTGTCATCTCTGCCCCCAGCTTGGAGGTGTTCAAGGTCATAGGCCCCATCTAAGTTCTCGCTCTCTTCCTGGAGCTCTTGGCCTCTAGTGACAGGTGGCAGTAGAAGGTACTGTCCCAGAGTGATCCGGGATCTCCCAACATCTTGGCACCAGGGATCTTTCTTAGATTCATGTAAATTCTCCCAAAGTCAGTAAGAAAAATGCCTAAATGATAAACTACGGCCTTTGAACAGAGACGAACGTGCCCTCAGCTCTGTTTCACCAAAGGTGGGTGGGGCGTCGCTGAGGCCGGGACCCCAGGGAGGGGTAGCCTGGAGGGATGAGGAGTGTGCCTGTGAAGTGCTGTCCCTCCAGCTGGGTGACGTGGGGCACCCGAGGGCCGAGTGTCCCTTGGTCGGTTTGCCCCAGGGTGCTCCAGAGCACAGCCTCTGCCCCTCTGCTCTCTGCCCTGCCACACATCTCCCGCGAGCCGGCGCTTTCAGCTTTGGAGGTCCTTTAATGAGCACTGTTGCCCTTCCTAAAATGAAGAACAATTTTTTCGTAGGTCCTGATTTGTTTCCCATTGGTCAGTCTTCCGTTTGTACCTTTGTGTGCCCCTCTGCTGCACATCCCAGGATAGGCCCTGTGGCCCCAGCCCCAGGGAGACGAGGCTCATCGAGGGCCCTGGCGCGGGTCAGGGGCCACTCTGGGCTGGGTGGGGTGCAGTGACGGCCGGCCTGCGTGGGGGCTGGGAGGAGTCTCGTGGGCGGATGTGGGGCTCCGGTGGGAGGAGCAGCATGAGCAGAGGCGTGGCCGCGGCGGGAGGCGGGGCTGACCCGAGCTGCCCTGGCTTGCCCCCGCAGCGGCTGTACAGCATGGACCTGCGGAGCTCCCACAAGGCCAAGGGCAAGGAGAAGCTCTGCTTCTCCCTGATGCGCCCACTCGGCAGCGGGAGCCCCGAGGGGGTGGTCAAGGCGGGGACACCCGAGCTGGTGGACAAGGGCCCCTTGGTGCCCACCCTGCCCTTCCCGCTCCGCAAGCCGCGCAAGGCCCACAAGTACCTGCGGCTCTCACGCAAGAAGTTCCCGCCCCGCGGGCCCAACCTGGAGAGTCTCAGCCATCGACGGGAGCTCTTCCTGCAGGAGTCATCGAGCGCAGACGTCCTGCAGGCGGCCAGCGAGTGGGAGCCCACGGAGCAGCCCCCCGAAGAGGAGGGTAAGGCGGCCCAGGCCCAGAGACCCTCACAGCTGGAAAGGTCCCTGTGGTCATCAGGTCCAGAGAGTGCCGTGAGTGCTTGTGAGGCCACGGTGGGGACAGTCAGGCCTGGACGCAGGGCTGACACCTAGCCCAGAGCTCGCTCTGTCCTCCTGCTCTTGGCGAGCTGTGTTTGGTGTCGGGCCAGGCCCGAGCTGGCTGCAGACGCAGAGGGGAGGACCTTGTGTGGGGGTGGCTGGAGGGCTGCATGCTGCCACCCACTCCCACCTGCCCACCTTGTCAGCCTGCCCCGTCTGTGTCTCACGGCTGCAGCAGAGACAGACCTGGCCGAAGGGCCCCCTCCCTGGACACCTGCGCTCCCCCCAAGTGAGGTGACCGTGACTGACATCACCGCCAACTCCATCACCGTCACCTTCCGAGAGGCCCAGGCGGCAGAGGGCTTCTTCCGAGACCGCAGCGGAAAGTTCTGAATCATCGTTTTTTACTCTTCTTAAACTGTTTTCTTTTGGGCTTGGGGTGGGGACTTCCAGAGATGGGGAGGGGTTGGGGGCGGGGTAATTATTTTATTTAAAAAAAAACCTGAGCAGAAGAAGTGGGGAAGACCCTCTGACCCTGCCCCTTCCTCTGCTAGGGACTTTTACGGGGAGGCCTCAGGCAGGGGCTGGCGCGCTGGGCGTTGCTCCAGGAGTTGGGGCATCTCCCCAGGGCAGGATGAGGACAAAGCCGCCTGCCTGGGACACCTCTGTCCTTGTTCTCTAGAGATGCAGCAGCTGGTGCTGGGAGTGACAAGACCGTCAGGAGGCCCAAGCCCGCTCCCTCGAGCAGCCCGCCTCAGCCGTCTGGCTGGTTTCCCCTTCCCATTTTTTTGATCGGGTCTTTGTTTTGAACTTTCCACTCCAGTTTTGTGGTGAGCTGTGGAGGCTGTCTGTGACCAGAGTGACTGGGTCAGCAAGCAGGGGCAGGAGGAAGGGCTTGAGATTGCTGGGGCCTGTCCCCTCCCCTTCAGAGAGGTTTCTGCCCTTCCCAGGGAGGAGGCTGCCAGCCGAGACCCTTCTGCTGAGAGCTCCACCCTCCCCACCACCTGGCCCGTGCAGACACACGCGTCGCCCAGCCTCACCGGGGTGCAGCGTGTGTGCCCCGCCTGCCCCATGAATTTGTGTGTGTCTACCGACAGGTCCGCGTGGGCCTTGCAAATGTGCTTTAGAGCCTGACCAGGTGAAATGGGGTGATTCACAGCACTGAGGAACTGCCACGACACCCCACACTCACCCCACCTTGCATGCACATCACGTGATAGGATCTACGCCGGCCTGGTTTGCCTGCAGCTGTCAGTGGAGGGCAGAGGTCTAGCCGTGGGCACGAGGGCATCTCTGCTGCAGGGATGCAGGTGTGGTTTTGCGGTTATACCCAGCGAGGTTGCAGGTGTGCAGGCCTCTGCCAGGTTGGGCTGACATGTCAGCACCTGCTCCAAGACACTAGGGCCCTGTCTTGCCTCCCCAGGGGGGTTCTTGTTCTTTCTGACTCAGGTGACTTTTCAGCCCTTCTGACCCCCCTCTTCTTCTGCCCTCCCCTCCTACTCGGCCAACCCAGACGTGGTGTGGGTGTGGGCAGTCGGGCAGGGAGGCAGTGGCCCGCCACCTTCTCAGGGCAGCCCCCAACTCCTGAACCATTCCTCCCATTCTGTGTCCCTTCCCCATCCACCCTAAATGCCACAGCTGGGGCTAGCCTTGTTTCCCTGTGGGGGGACCTCCGCCATGTCTTCCTGAGGTCAGGCTGCCTCATATGGTGGGTCAGGCCGTGCACAAGCCCTGGCGAGGGGCTGTGTCTGCCAGGAGGAGGGACGCTTGTTTTCTAGCTTGTACGGGGTACCCTGTGGGCTAGTAGCTTCCCTGCCAGTGAGGGCTGAGTTTTCCCTCCATCCCTGTCCTGTAGAGGAGAAAAAGCCAGATTGGGGGCACAAGGGGAGCGTGGCAAGGCCAGCACCCCTGTCCTCCGCTGTCGCCAGAGTCAGGGTAACCTGAACCGGGAGTGCAGCCGGGCTTTGAAACCCGCCTGCCCTCCCCAGCATTGTCCCCCAGCCCCGTGCTGTGTCCTCAGGAAGTCAGCAGGATCTCTGCTGAGGCACAGAGAGGGTGACTCTTCACCCAGCCTCTTCCCCAGTTCCCAAACCAAAGACAGCCTGAGCCCCCTTTCTGTTTGGGGCACTCCGTTGGCAAAATCCCCAAACCCCCGATTCTCTCTCTCTACCCCCTTCCTCCTTAATCCTTAGTTGTCCAGGGTCAATTCAGTGCTTCCATTGGGGCGTGGTCCCCTCTGGGGTGACCTGATTCACCCCCAGCCCAGGGAATTGAACCTAGAGGAACATGAAGAGGTAGGGCAGGAAAAGGAAGGGGCGGCAGGAATCTCACCCATTGGCTGTGGGACCCGGGGGAGGGGAAAGGGAAGCTCAGAGTTGCGGGGGAGACTCTTCCAATATAGGGGCTCCCAGCAGAGGTGAAGGTGGTGGAGTTGGGGGGTCTCTCTCTCCAGTTGGATGTGTTGGCTGTGGCTTTGGACATGGCTGGCAGCTTCCAGTAGAAGTCATAGCCCCCATCCCCCAGGGGACGTGGACCTCTTCCTGCTTCCTGGAAACTTTCAAAGAACTGTTTGTGCAATCTGGGTTTGTGGTTTCGGGGGGCTTTCTTGTGGACGAGGCAGTTGTTTTTCTGTCTGCAGCAGCAGAACGCATCTTTCCTCCTACTCAGCCCTTTATGGCCCTTGGGGGAATCCTGTGGCCCAGGGAGGGCTGAACTCCAGGGTGCCCTGGAGTGAGTGGACCAGAGATGCCCAGCTCAGGGCAGCATGTGGCTCATGGGCTGCTGTGAGCCAGGAACAGGCTGTGGGCTGCTACCTGCCCCCCTGCAGGACAGGTGACTTCTGGGAGGTCACTGATGGGTGTGGCTGCACAGGCCTCCCCCCAGCCGGGCATGTCCCAGTGGGGGCAAGGTAGACAGTGATCCACCCCACCCCACTCCCGGCCCCCGCAGAAGGCCAGTACTCCTAGGGGCGGGGGAGGGTTAGAGAGCATCTGACCACCTGCCTTTCTTCCCCAGCCCCACCCCGTTTTGAATGTAGAGACCTGTAGGTACCTTTTCTTTTGTGGTGGGGAGGGGTGGGGAAAACGCTCCTCCACCCCTGCGTGGCCACTTGCACTGTGTGGCCAAGCCCCGCCCGGCTCCAGGACTGTCACTGCTCTTAGGGGGATAGTCCCCAGTGCCAATTTCCTCCTCTCCTCTTGCTCCGGGAAGGCGCTAGGCTTCTGTGAGGTGGGTACGGTTTCGCTTTACAAGTGGCCCGCCGGGCCTGCAGGTCTCAGCACTAGAGCGCTTCCTTTGCACAGACGAGCTGAGCTCCGTTCAGACTCGATGAATGTATCCGGGAGGGCGGGCCCAGTCGATCCGAGCGCAGGCCTTTCCCGGCGAGCGTGCTGGGGAGAGCCAGCGGGCGTAGAGCGCGGTTTTATTTTTGTACTGACATTGGTAAGAGATGTATAGCATCTATTTATTTAGATGATTTATCTGGTAAATGAGGCAAAAAATTATTAAAAATATATTAAAGATGATTTAAAAAAAAAGCTCATGGACATTCGATCATTGCTTCTGACGGCGTCCCCGCTGTGCCGAGGAAGAGACGCACCCCCTGGTGCCGCCTCGGGTTTAGGTCCCAGGGCCGCTAGTCACTGACCGTGATTTGGGGCAAGTCATCTTGTTTTTGAGCCCCATGGACATACAGTGAAGATGAACTGAGGTGACGGGAGCCGGGAGTGGCACTGGTGGGGCCACCAGCCTGGTCCGAGCAGTGCGCCCTCAGAGGCCTGGACGTGCTTCTGACCTTGTCACCTGCCCTCTGCGCCCCCCCCCCCAGGAGTATTCTGTTCGAGGACCTGGGGGCAGCCAGCGTCCCGGGTCTCTGCCGTCACAGGGCTGCCACGGCAAGTGCTCACCGACTGTTCAGCCGAGCTGAGCACACTTGTCTGGACGTGGAGACAGGTGGTCAGAGCAAAGATGTGAGAGCCGGGGGTGTCCTGCGGGCACATCTGCATTTGGTGTCGCACCGAGGGGCTGGCGGGGCGGCGGGAGAAGAGTGAGGAGGCTGTTGCAGCCGTCCAGGTGGAGGTGGTGGCGGACAGCTGGCGCAGTGTTGGTGAGAGAGACGCGGACAGCCTGGGGTGTGTGTAGGTGGAGAATCATCAGGATGTGGCCGATTTGCTGGGAGGACAAGGAGGGTCGGATCCTGCTGGGTCCCAGCTTGGGCCCTGGGAGTGAAGATCTGGATGGAGGCCGAAGGAGAAGCAGCAGGTTCTGGGGTGTCTTGACTTGGCCACCCCAAAAAGCAGAGCCTGAGACAAGGATTTGCTGCACAGGGAGTTTATTTGGGAGGTGATCCAAGGAGCAGAGGTTGAGGTTAGAGAATGGGTCAGGGATGAAGAAAAGCCATTACAAGGGTTTATTATTGAGGCCACTTTTATGGGCAATTGGCATGTGATTGTGCCTGAGATCACCTGAGAGGTGTACAAGTATCTCCCAGAATTGTCCCCTCCCGAAGGGTGAGGGGTGGGAGCATTAACCTTCGAGTGCTGCCCCTCCTGAGTTGAGTGTTGGTCTGGATGTGCCAACCCCGCCCTCAACTTCCAGGCTCTGCGTGTGCCAGCTTCCAGCCGTCTGGGACCTCTGCCTGCTGTGCTGGAAGAGCCTGGGGTAGAAAGTGAAGACATGTTGCCGGTGGAAGCCCACAGGGAACTAACTGTCCACCCCAACCACTGCTGAAATTAGTGAGCCCGAGAGATAGGGGCGCTGGAGGTGCCTGTACAGTCCACCCCTCGTGCTGCTGAACTTTGCCCTTTTATTTTTTCCATTGGCGATAGGATCTTATTTTGTCACCCAGGCTGGAGTGCAGTGGCACGATCGTAGCTCACTGTAACCTCCAACTCCTGGGCTGAAGCCATCCTCCCACCTCAGCCTCCCTGATAGCCGGGCCTACAGGTGTATGCCGCCATGCCCAGCTAACTTTTTATTTTCTGTGGCGATAGAGTCTAGCTGTATTGCCCAGGCAGATCTCAAACTTCTGGCTTCAAGTGATCATCCTGCCTTGGCCTCTCAAACTGTGGGGATGACAGGCGTGAGCCACTGCATCCGGCCGTGCTTTGGCCATTCTTCATGGTCTGTCCACTCTTTCACTGAGTCTTCACAAGGTGGCCAGTTCCCATCTCTAGGAAAGACTTAACACCTGGTAGTTAGTGGGGTGGACTTCAGTCCTCAGTGGGGCAGCTGGCCCCAGGTTGCAATCAATACATCTGCCACCCCTCCTTCCCCACCTGCCTGCTGGCTGGGCCACTCACCCCAGAAGAGGCTGGGCCCGTGGACCTGCCCTTGTCGGCTCAGGCTGTAGCTGCTGCGGTTGCCGATTTGGTAACTACCTTTTTCTTTTTGCTCGCTGATCTACTGGCTCTGGGAACCCAGAGTGACAAGGTGGTAGTTGTAGCTTCAGTTTCAGAGGACTTTCTGACACCATCCCCTGGTAGAGGTGTTCCCTCCCCTGGGAAGCAGGACCTCTGCTCTCCCAGGCCTGATTCGCAGCGGCGCAGAGCACAGTGCTGCAGGTGGCTGAGAAGGGCGGATCCGGCTCCCACCCTTGGTTCTCCCTGGATATGGCACCACTGGTTCAGCACATTTAGTACGTCTGGGGGGACAGTGCCCCAACTCCATAGGTGTCATCCGAGCTGGTCCTGTAGATAAACTTTAGTGGGCAGCTCCGTTGTTCTATTGGGCTGGCTTCTTCTGGGTGGCACCGTATGTGGTAGGACCAGCGTGTCCCATGGCCAGGCACATATTATTGTGCTTCCTTCACTATAAGATGGGTCCCTTGATCTAACGCTGCGGTCTGCTGGGTGCAGTGGGTCACACTTGTAGTCCCAGCATCTCGGGAGGCTGAGCAGGGAGGATCACTGAGCCTAGGAGTTGGAGGTTACAGTGAGTTATGATGATGCTACTGCACTCCAGCCGAGGCAGCAGAGTAACACCTTGTCTCCAAAAACAAAGCCAAAAACTGTCAGCTGTTAAACATCAGAAAATGGAGCCAGACTCCTCCTTACAGCATCTGCACCCAACAGTGGGCTGTTGTCAGGCCCGGGTTTCCAGAAGCATCTCGGCAGTGCACTAGGATGGCACCAAGTGTCCTCGTCAATCCAGAATCATGGGGGAACGCTTTCATGCCAACACCTTCCACCTTTTATTTTTACCCTTTAAGTCTCAAACCCTCTGGTTGGGCGAGGCGGCTCACGCCTGTAATCCTAGCACTCTGGGAGACCGAGGCAGGAGGATCGTTTGAGCTCAGGAGTTTGAGACCAGCCTGAGCAAGAGCGAGATCCCATGTCTACTAAAAAAAAAAAAAAAAAAAAAAAAAAAATAGAAATTAGCTGGACAACTAAAAATATATAGAAGAAAAAAATTAGCTGGGCATGGTGACGTATGTTTATAGTCCCAGCTACTCAGGAAGCTGAGGCAGGAGGATCGCTTGAGCTTAGGAGTTAGAGGTTGCTGTGAGCTAGGCTGATGCCAGGCACCCTAGCCCGGGCAACAGAGTGAGACTCTGTCTCAAACCCTCAAAGCCCACTCCCACCTGTGTTCCCCGCTGGCGCTGCTGCACATCCCAGAGCTTCGTCTTTCCGTGTCCCTGTCCAGTTTGAGGCAGCTGTGCGGAGGGCACTGCAGGGGTTGTCCCCACCCCATCCTCCCCAGCGTGGGGGAACTTGTCGCACTGGTGGGGCTCCGGTTCCGAGCACGTCCTGAAGATGGGATTCAGGGCCCGCGTCCGGTGCCTCTGTCCTGGCTTGGGCTGAATCGTGCCCCCACACTCACGTGTTGGAGTCCAAACCCCCAGTACCTCGGGTGTGACCTTATTTGGAGTTGGGACTGTATAGGGGTGATCAAGTTAAAGTGAGGTCATCGGGTGAGCCCTGATCAGTGTGACTGGTGTCCCCATGAAAAGGGACAAAGTGGGCACAGGCCCGGGACGACCACGTGAAGACACACGGAGAAGACGGCCCTTCACAGACCGAGGAGAGAGGCCCGGAGCAGAGCCTGCCTTCGTGCTGTGGCGGGGGACCAGCCTGTGCCACCCTCATCCCGTCTTCCCGCCTCCACTGCGGGAGAGAACGACTCGTGTCTAAGCCCCCAGCGCCGTCCCTTGTTACGGCAGCCCTGGCGGTTCCGACAATGGTGTCCCTGAGAGGAGTGGGACTCGGTGCAGGTACTTGACCTGGGAGGTGGCCCTGGGACGAGGGAGCGAGGACAGGGAGGGACAGGGAGGACGGGGTATTGAGGTTGCTGTGTGGCAACGGGCTTGACTGCACCTGGCTTTCTGAGAAGCGTTCGCAGTGGCCCCTGCAGGGGTCCGACTGTGGGAGGGGTGGGCGGGATCTGGACCCCAGCCCACTGCAGACAGGAAGGAGGGTGGCCGAGGCAGCTTCGGGAAAGACGATGAGGTCTGGCTGACCCACGCTGCGCAGCGCTGCCCACTTTGCTAGAGCGCAAGGTGCTCTGCCTGCAAGCAAGAGCCAGCCTCCCTCGCCTGCTCCCCTGCTGGTCCTTTAGTTCTTCTGTCCAGGTGTGCAGCCAGCCTGCCTGCGCTTCTGGGTGAAGACGGCAGACTGAGCCCCAGCTCTTCTATCCCCCCCTCCTCAAATCCCAGTAAAATGACAGTCGATCCATCAGTCAATCAATTGGAAGCTGAAATACGAGAAAGATGGGCAGCAGCGCTGGAAAGCAGGACAGGGGCATCTGACCAATATAAGAAAGGATGGGAAATTTCCAGAAGGTGCACAGGTAGCT